TCCTGCTGTGTGATCAGTGTGCTGTGGAGTTCTAAGCCCTGCCCTACTCCCCTGCACCAGGAGGAGGGGATGAGGCATGTGTGCCCTTTGTGTCAGGTCTCCAGACAAAGAGACCCACTTGGCAAAGCTCTGCCAGGTGTGAGTCTGATTTAAATGCTAGCCGAGGCCGTGAAGTATGTTCAGTATCCCTCAACAGTACATAAACCCACAGTGGCGTGGCTGCGAGCAGACTGCAGAGCGAGAATGCTGGGTCTGCATCCTGGCTCTGTCTTTTACGCTGTGTGCCCTTAGGGAAGAAGCTGAATGAAAACAGTCTACCTTGCAGTTCTGAGGATTAAGTGACCTTGTAAGTGTCCGGTGTTTGGCATAATCAATGCTGTAGAGACACTGGGTACTGCTGTTGCTACTACTAGTGGTCCCATTAAAAAGCTTTTCTTCTTCCCCAGCCCTTCTCCCCTATTCCTGAAAGGGTCAGAAGCCAAGTCACTGCGTGGGGAAGAGGAGTAAAAGAACAAAGTGAGGGAAGACAGAAAAACTAAGAAAGCAAACCAAAATCTGCTCTGTTCCTGCAGGCCTTGAAGCAGGCCGAAAGTGGGAGATGAGGGAAACCTTTACCTCTGAAGTAAACTTAGTTCTTGAAAAGACTTTTTATTTCTTGAAAAGAATCAAAAAAGTTACTAAGACTTGCCCTCTAAGCCAGAGGAGAACTAAACCACTAGAATAAATTTCAATGGACAGAAGATTGGTTATTTATAAGTGTTATCAACTTGCACATAGTTGAAAGTTTCATAAACTTTCCTGTCATTGATTTTTCATTTTATTCATATTATCTCAGAATATACTCTACATTATTTTAACCTAGTTTTAAAAACCTATTACTTTTTTTGGAGGGGGGGCAAGAATACGGTCTACACTGGAAATTACATGTGCACTTGAAAACTATGTGTTATCTATTTCTGTTGAGTGTTTTACAGAGATATGTTTGGTCTAGTTGGTTTACAGTGTCTATTTCCTAACTGATCTTTGAAATGTTTTATACACTTTAAAAAATGGTATAGTTAAGTCTCTATTAATGCTAAATTGTTTATTTTGATTGATTTTTGCTTTATGTATTTGGTACATTTATTAAGTACACTTTAGGGACCAGCAGTTGGTGTAATGGCTATGTCACTGGACTCACAGGAAGTTGACTGCAGTTCGAGTCCTGGACCCAGTGGCTTAAACTCACACCGGGCACATGTGTATGCATGCCCAAGATCCCGAGAGGAGAATGGACTGCAGTGTGGCCATCCCCCCGGGGGGTGATTTCTCGCTTTCTGTCTCTTTCTGGTGAGTGCACACGCCCTATCGCAAAAACCTTTTAAAGAAAAAAAAAACATAAGTGTTACTTAATAAAGTACATTTTATTTTGTACTGCTGGTCCCAATACACTTATGTTTTTAACTGCTGAATCTTTCTACTGGGATGACTTTACATTACAAAATGTCTCCAGTACTTATTTCTGATAGAAAGTCTATTTGCTGGGTATTAGTACAACTACTCCAGCTTTCTTGAGACTAATGTTTCCATGAAAATCTATTTCTATCTCTTTACTTTTAATCTATTCTTAAAGTGTGTCTCCAACAGACAGCATGTAGCTATTTTTTAACCATGAATGTTCTGAAGTGACTTTTTCTAGTTTTGATATCAAGGTGGTACTGGCCTCATAAAATGAATTGAGAAGTAGTCCTGTTTTCTGGAAGAGATCACATACAGTTGGTGTTATTTCTTCTTTCAATGTCTGGTAGAATTCTCCTGTCAAATCATCTAGGTCTAGCTATTTCTTCTTTAGGACGAATTACTTACAAATTTAATTTCTGTAATAGTAATAAGTTGATTTGAATGATCTATTTTCACCAGGGCTGAGTTTTCGTGGTGTGTTTTCTTGAGGAATGGTCTATTTCATCAATGTTTTGCCAGACAAAACCAGTTAAAAAAAAAAAAAAAGAGAGAGTGACACGACAATTAAATGGGGGTTTATCAGGGATAGAAGATTGGTTCAATGTTAAATCAGTCTGCAGGGCTGACCCCATAGCCTAGTAGTTAGGAAACCAGATCCTACATGACAAACTGCTGTTGGCCCTGGCAGTCCAAGGGACACACTAGGCATTATCTGAGTGCATGCTCAAGGTCTGGAGGGGATGGAGAAATGACACTGCCCTACTGGGGAAAGCTTTCTCCCTCTCTGGTGAGTGCATGTGTTCTCTGGCAATCTAAAATAAATAAATAAATAAATAAATAAACCTCATGACGATTTCAATTAATGCAGGAAAAGCATTTGAAGTGAAATTCAATATCCATTCATGTTACACTCTTAGCGAACTAGAAATAAGAAAGAACTTCCTCAACCTGACAAAGGATTATTTAAAAAAAAAAAAAAAAACCCGGTAATAGAACTGGATGCTTTCCCCCTAAGATCATGAGAAAGGGAAGATGTCCCTCCCTCCCATCGGTCCTATTCAACATTGTATTAGAAGTCAAAGAGACAGGAAAAAAAGAAAAAGGCATACAGATTTGAAAGGAAAAAACAAAACTTCCTATTTCAGAGACATAATTATTGATACCTAAGGAATCATTAAAAAAGAAAAAAGCTTTTTGGGGATGGCATGGTGATTAAGGGTGCTGGACTCCCACATGGTCGACTAGAGTTCAAGTCCCAGACCTGGCAGCTGGCTTTCTTACTCCTCCCTCCCCCCACCTGGTCCCTCTCTGGTTAAATAAAATAAATAAATACATACATAAATAAAGTTAACTAAGACAATTCTTTAAAAGAAAAAATTATATTTTAAGGGGCAGACAGGTGGCTTGGTGGTTAGGGGTGCCAAACTCCCACATGGCCGACTGCGGTTCAAGTCCCAAACCTGGCGGCTTGCTTTCTCTCTCTCTCTCTGGTCAAATTGAAATGAATGAATACATAAATTTAAATAAAATAATTTTAAAAACCCTCTATTTTATAAAAGAAAAAAGCTTTTTAAAGCTAGTAAGTGATGGGACCAGTAGTTGGTGTAATGGCTATGTCACTGGATTTCCATGTAGTCGACTGCGGTTCAAGTCCCGGACCCGGTGGCTTAAACTCATGCCAGGCATGTGTGCGTGCATGCTCAAGATACCGAGAGGAGAATGGAGGAGAAGAGAGTGCGGTATGGCCATCCCCACTGAGGGGTGATTTCTCACTTTCTGTCTCTCTGTCTTTCTGGTGAGCACATGCACCCTATAGCAAAAACCTCTCCAAAATAAGCTAATAAGTGACAGGATACAAGGTCAACTTCTAAAGAAGTCAGTAGTGGTAGCAATCAACAATAGGAAAACTAAGAAAAAAATAACAAAAACAGTATCATAACAGCTCCCCCAGAGTGGAGTGAAGGTAGGAGAAACCTAGGTATAACCCTAACAAAACGTATCTAGAAGTTATATGCTGAAAAGTATAAAACACACATAAAGATGTCAATTCTCTTCAAAGTGATCTACGGATTTAACAGAATTACAATGAAAACTTCAGCAAACTCTTTTCTTTTTTTGGGGGTAAAGACAAACAAGCTGATTCTAAAATGTACACAAGAAGGGCAAATAAATTAGAACAGATAGAACAATTTTGAAAAAGAATAAAGTCAGAGGAATTACACTAAGGGCTTACTATAAAGCTACAGGAAGGCCGACAGAATGGGGCTTGCAAACGGATGGCCATGAGATCAATACAACAGAGTACAGAAATACACCACACTGGCATGGCTGGTTTTTGACAAAGATACATAAGCAATTCAATGAAGAAAAGATAGTTGTTTCAATAAATGCTTTGCAACTAGACTCCTATTCTTTTTTTTTAAGATTTAATTTTTAATTTATTATTATTTTAATTTACCAGACAGAGAGAAGGAAAGTGAGAAAGCAAGCCACCAGGTTCAAGACCACCATTAAACCTGTTCCCAGACTACTTGGCTGGCACCTGGACTATTAAAAAAAAAAAAAAAGAAAAGAAAAAACCCCCACCTCATTCTTTATTTAAAAATGGACCCAAAATGGGCCATAGACCTAAATATAAAGAAAAAGTATAAGCAGTTTATAAGACAGGAGAAAACCTTTGTGGCCTAGGGTTAGGACAGGTAAGGAGTTCTTAGCTATTAAACCAAAAGCACAATCAAGAAGACAAAAAATGATAAGCTGAACTTAATCAAAATAAAAACTTTGTAGTATGAAAAACACAGTGTCAAGAGAATGAGGGACCAGCAGTTAGCGTAATGGCTATGTCGCTGGACTCCCACGTAGTCAACCGCGGTTTGAGCCGCGGACCCGGCGGCTTAAACTCACGCTGGGAGCGTGTGTGTGCGTGCCCAAGATCCCGAGAGGAGAATGGAGGAGAAGGGATTGCGGCGTGATCATCCCCCCTGGGGGGTGATTTCTCGCTTTCTGTCTCTGTGTCTCTCTCTGTCTGTCTGGCGAGTGCACACGCCCTATAGCAAAAACCTCTCCAAATAAAAAAAAAGAGAGAATGAAATAGCAAGCTATACATGGCCTGGGAGGAATCACTTAAAATGATATATCTGTTGAAGAACATGGATATTAGATTATTTTACAGTTCAGGAAAAGTTTAGTTCAACAAATATTTATGCGGTGCAGATGCTTGCTCTGGAGCTCAGGAAAGTTCACCTAGCTCAGTGACTTACAGCACAGCAGGGAGTGGACCCTGGATTACTCAGTTCCTGGACTCCACTGCTTTACAAAGTCACAGTAAAAACCATGATCGACAGCCAGTCTCTCTTCATGACAAGTACTCTTCCTGTTGATTTGACAATAATGGAAGCACAATTCTGTTTTCCACGAAGGAATAATTGTTCTTACTAGAATAAAAATCTTATTACTTCTAAAACTATCTGATTTGTTCAAACCAGTGAAATAAAATCTCTTAAAAGTGACAAACTGCTTTTATACAACTAAGAAAAACAGACTGCTAAGGGCCCAAGTTAAGGTTAGTTGTGGTAAGTACCTTTGTAATTGTCAAGCTGATGAAAAGTCAGGCAAGTCCTAAAACAAAATGATGTTTTAAAAAATGAAGCAAGGCTGGCTGTGCAGACTAGTGGTTCAGGGAGCCAGCTCCCACACGGGCAACCACTGTTTAAAACCTTGCCTAGTCAGGACCAGCAGTTAGCGTAATGGCTATGTTGCTGGACTCCCATGCAGTCAACCGCGGTTCACGTCTCGGACCTGGTGGCTTAAAACTCACGCTGTGTGTGTGTGCGTGCATGCCTAAGATCCCAAGAGGAGAATGGAGGAGAAAGGGACTGTGGCATGGCCATCCCCCCGGGGGGTGATTTCTCGCTTTCTGTCTCTCTGTCTGGCGAGCGCACACGCATTCTAGCAAAAATCTCTCTTACAAAAAAAAAAAAAAAAGCCTTGCCTAGTGACTTGAAAGACACTCTAGGGACCAGCAGTTAGTGTAATGGTTATGTCACTGGACTCCCATGTAGTTGACTGGGGTTTGAGGCCCGGACCTGGTGGCTTAAACTCACGCCGGGCACTTGTGCCCAAGATACCGAGAGGAGAATGGAGTGAGAAGGGATTGCAGCATAGCCATCCACCCTGGGGGGTGGGGTGATTTCTCTTTATCTCTCTCTCTGTCTTTCTGGCGAGCACACGTGCCCTATAGCAAAAATTCCCCCCCCCCAAGACATTCTGAGCATGTGTGTGCGCATGCCCAAAATTCTAACAGGATGGATAAATGGAGACGGGCCTGCAGAGTAATCATGTCCCATTGAAGGTACTCTCTTCTACTCCCCAACCACCACCCCACGACTTCATGTGCCCTCTGACAATTAAAAATGAAACAACAAAAGAAATTGCTATTTCTAAGAAATTGGGCTAGAATTTCAAAAGCATGGTCTTGTAATATTTGCTGTCATATGACCTAAAAAGAAAGTGTAAAAATACAAAACATTAGCTTATTTTCATTATCTAAATGTCCCAGAAAAATACGCATGTAGTTATTTTTCAATCTGTAAATATTAAAACAAAAACCTATAATAAAGTCTACAAGAATCCATCAATTTAAATTTCTTTAAACACTTGCTGCCTCACATCTTCCCAATAAACCATGTACTG